GTATTATTTTTTATGGAGTTTGAAGGCGTTAGCATCACATCACTCGCAGTAACAATAACAACAGTGTCATGGGGGGTTCCTCAGGAGCAATAGACACCACCTGTCTGGTAGTATCCTCCTCAGGTGGAACTAAAATGTCTAGAGTTGTTGGGTTAGACCCATCCTTATTCACTTGAGCCTTAGATTTCAAATTTGGATGAAACTTGTGGCATTTATCAAAGACAGGACCAAACATCTTACAGTGCGTACAATATGGGGGTCTGTGCTCCATGACGATTTGTTGTCAATAACCATTAGAGTTTGTGTCCAGTCAGACTTCAGTAACATCAGATAAAGTAATATACATTTCCACAAGTATTCTGGACACTGAGGGTCTGGTTAGGTTGAAAGTAGACAGATCTAGTTTCAAAGGATCTCCAAGAATGACCCAAATAGAGTAGAGAACCTGATAGTGAAAAAAACGCAACTTAAAACCAGGTAAACTAAACTATACCGGTACAGTGAGAGTTTCATGATTTGGGTCGAAATCAGGAGACCGCTTGAGTAGCTTCATAGGTTAAGATACTTTTTCGAGAAAATCCAAGTATAGTCTTCAGACACGGTTAACTGAATCAAAACATGTCTCTCATCCATGAGCTCCACTTTCCACTTTACAGCTAATTTGAGGTCATCAAAACTTTTCCTCATAACCTTCATAGGTGGGTGTCCCCACTGAAATTTCCCAACGAGAGTAAACTTGAATTTGTCAGTCAATGTTGAAATTTCTGACTCTGAGAAAAAGAGTGTTGCCTTCCCAATTTTCCTGCTTACATTCTTAATGAAGGGGCAGCCACATGTACTATCACGATTCTCCTTGTAAATTGAAGGGAACACAACCACCGTCTCTCCCTGAGGATTACCCACATGGGCAAAAGAGGTTTTGTCAGGTTTACCACCCGAAGAAGAAGGAAGCTCCATCCATAAGCTTTGCAAATCGGCTCAGGGTCAAAGAGGTCGGGGCCGCAGACAGAACTGCAAAAGAGTCGAAACCTCAGTTCGACAAAGCCGCGCGAACCGCGACAAGACGACGTCGCAGAAAGCCGCAGGCGTCAAACAAAAAGCCGCAAATGCGAACTGTCGGGTGTAGACGCGAACGACTGTGATGCAGTAGGGCGCAGACGCGAACTCCCGCACACGGCTTGAGATTCGACGTCTTGCCCTAGTTGTTCGAAGGAAATATATATATATATATATATATATTAGAAAATTAAACGAGTTTACATAAAGTAAAATATGAAAAATTTATACATTAATAACATCAAGTTAATAGTTAATTAAATTAATAATTTATTTAAATTTCGGTAATAAATATCATTTTTATGTTTGGTTTTCAATATAGAAAAATTGACTTCAAGACAAACCATATAACAAATTAATCAGCACTGATGTGAGTACTCATATTCTTTTACTATAGTAATATTTTATTTCTTCTCGACTGAATGCATTAACTGTTACTATTACAAACCCATGATTTATAGTACAATGAATTTTGTTCATATTGTAAGAATAACCTTAGCTTTGTTAAACTTATTATTGAATATTGAATAATAATATTGACTGTTATGCAAATAAGAATTAAACAGTTATTATTAGAAAGTAATATTGTTGTAGTGTGTTGGTATGTGTATGTTTGGCTATAATGGAGTAACTCATTTATGGTTCTAGTAGAAAAACATTAAGGTATTTGTGCACGTATATGAAAAAGGATATTGATATTGAAATATCTTAAGTGGTACAATTTTTAGAGGGTGCTTATGCGGTGGTTGTATAAATACAAAATGTTATTAATATGTTATTCATAGAGTAATATTCATTGATAGCATCTAAAACATTAATATTGATTTATTAAAATTTTAACTGACATGCATTTTACTTTCTTTTTACGTATATTGCTATAGTTTAAAAAATGAGTATTCATTGACTTACTTGTTTCATTGTTAGTTTAAACTAACTTTTCACGTTAATTTAATAGATTAAATGATGAACGATACAAGGGATAATGTTTAGTAGATGCGGCAATTAGTAACCAAATAATTTTAAAAAATATTGTGTTAATTCAATTTGATTAGTGACTCTTTCATTTATTAAATAGAAAATAAATATAGAAGACTTGGTTCTCACAATCTGTCGATTGGTTCCTGATTTGGTTAATTTCAATCCCCAAGCCGAGTCGTGATAATTTGAGGCAAACCTGACTCAGGACCAGCCCAGAAATGACCAGGCCTAGCTAGGCACCAAGCCAGGTTTAGTTCATTGATAATATCTAAATAGAAGCAAAAAGCCTAACAAAAACCATTTACTAATCAAGAATAAATGTAATAGAGACATTTAATATCAGGGATTGAGCACTTTCTTACATGTAAAATATAAACTAAAACTAATGCAATACACATATTGAACATTTAACAGGAAAGATTCTATAGGATTGTTTGTTCGATTGTCATTTAGATGTCAAATTAAATTTCAAATACCGTGTGCAAGGTGCGATGTTAATATATTTAAAAACATTTATATTGCCTAAATTATGATTGTATACAACTTATTAAGATAATAGTGACATCTCTAAATGTCGCCCAATTCAGTTGATATTTAGACTTCGCTCATTAGGACTTCGAGCATAAGCTATGAAAATATAATTTAAGGATATCAGCAGATCAAATATTATCTATCATTAAATAACATGGCGTTATGATAATTACTTATAATTTAAATGAACAAAGCAATCCCTAACAAGTACTGTTAGTCTCGATAACACAAGTTAAAGTTGATGGACTATTAAAATTCATTGAGCTCATCTTAGAAATGCCTGCCCTTAGGTTCACTCCATCACCATTAAGAGTAACTTCTAAAAAATTAAAATCTTAGCTCCAGGCAAAAATTAAAATTCATTTAAGCTCATGCTGAACTTTCTTATCAAGCAATGGACGCTAAAATACATATTAGCTTAGGTGAGAAAATTTAAAATAATGATAATAATAATAATAATAAAAATAATAATAATAATAATAATAATAATAATGATAATGATAATGATAATGTAAACAACAATAATACGATAGGAACCAAAGAAAATTTCCACAAAAAATTAGGGCAAGCAAATATTTTATTTTAATAACACCAAGCAACACAAGTCAAATACATATAAGATAAGCACCAACAATTTGAGAGATAGGTAATCTACCCCAAACTCTAGCCTAAGATTCAAGACAACAATCACATAGCATAACATAACCCTAAACACATTAGCCATATGTATACCCCACAATAATAACAAATAAATGACAAAATTGTCTTTTTAGTCTTATGCTAAACATTAGTCTTCAAATTATTTGGCGGGCCCTGCACTGGTCTAACATTACTCCCCTCCCAAGAAGGCACAGTGTCCTCAAGGTGGAAGAGAACAAACTATTGCTAAATCAAGTCGTATGGCTCTTATGTGGCCTCCCTTCCATTTAATAAAAAATTTATAGTGACCCTCATGAATTTGAAATTCAGTCTAGTGCACATCCTTTTGCGACATCCAAATCTATTGGAACCCTAATTTCAAGTCAATATTGGAGGATATTGCAGCCACAAACAATTCGTCCAGTAACTCATCGATTATCGAAATGGGAGATATGTAAGGTATTATTTCCTCATTCACTGTCCGATAATCCACACAGAAATATCAACTCCATCTTTTTTCCTAACGAGATTGGGGCAGAGAAGAAGCTCGCTCTAGGTTATATGATTTTGACCTCCAACTCAGATCCATCCCTCAATCTCGTCCTTTTGTACTTGGGGTTGTGATAGGAGTGCGCAATGATGGGAGAAACACCTGATCTCATGCTAGAGATTGCTCCCCATTTCTTTGCTCGATCCCACGGCTTTGAATCGGCCTAAGGCAACAAAACTGCTATGATAACGCCCAAATACTTCTGAATATTGCGACTCACATCCGCTCCAGAAGTCATCACTTGATCCCACTCAACAAGTTTGTGTGAAGCTTCATGACCTTCACCATTTATGCCATGATAGTGAATCCCCCCTCCATGGATGAGAGCAGCCCCTCCATGGCCGAAAAACGCTCCTCTATTTCAAATCTAATTTGACTCATCTCTTCATTGAATTTCTCCTACATAGAATTGATTTTTTTTTGCTGTCATTACACCCAAAAAGATTTTCGATCACGAAAGATAATCTCATTCGTTGGTTTCTTGGCTAGCTCTACTTGAGATTATGCGACCAGGGCAAGCCGCACTTCTATTGTTGGCTTCCCAATACTTTGTCGTTATCCTAACCTTGACTTCCAGCACTCAGTCACAGTTGTATCTTGACTATATTCACACTGTGATCGATCCAGCCGAATCCTAACTAGCTTGAATCGCGCCTAAAACTCCTGTCATAAGCTTCACAGCAACTTGAATCGCGATTATATCACAATATTAGGTCACCAAGGCAACTGTATAGCAAGGTTTGATCCTCCATGTACACCGCGAACTCTTAATTGCTTCTCCGAATTGAATGCTCTCAGCTAGCTCCGATACTAATTTGATAGGAACCGGAGAAATTTTTCACAGGAATTAGAGCAACCAAATATTTTATTTCAATAAAACCAAGCAGCGTCTCAAGTACATAAAGATAAGCACCTACAATTCTAGAGGTAGACGAACTCTCCCAAATCCTAACCCTAAGATTCAAGACACAATCACATAGCGTAACCTAACCGTAAACAAATTAGCGTTATTTATACCACATAATAATGAAAATCAAATATCTTAATTGCCCTTTTATTTTAATGCCAAAAATAAGATTTCAAATTATTTGGCAGGTTTGGAGTCAATCTAACACAATACTATCATGAATTTTTTATATCCGCAAAGGCTTGAAATATGGAGCTCAAACATGAAAAGTAAAATGAATTGCAACAAATGAATATATTCAAATAGACAAAAAGCATCAAGCACTTCTTTCTTACAGACCTCATCAGCAGTTCTCTTTGACTTTTGCAGAGTTGAAGCTGAAAATTTTTGCATTGCAACTCCTGCATCAAACCGTAAAGTATAATTTGAAGGCGCCAAATGGATGGCTCTAAGCAATGTTTTCTTGCAATCTTGCCATTGCTCAGCCTCATAGTGAGTCCGAGCCAAATAAAGAAGTACTTGCGAATCTGTATTATAATAGAACTTCCTCAAGCAATTCTGATACTGCAAGAAAGTGCAGTAACGTCAGATGAAGGCACCTTCATTAATTTTCCTATATAAGAAAGCGGATGAACTTGCCATCTTCACAGCCAAGGCAAAATGACCTTGAGCAAAATAGACGTGAGCCAGATTTATCCACACATCTGCCATCTGAACAAAAATACTTCCAGATGCAGCCTCTTGCACCTACAAAATATTTGAGTAAGTAATCCATCAACAATTATGATTATTTAAAAAATATTATAATAATATACCTGGGTGAAAACATCCTTTGAAACATCAAAACGACCTTTCTCTGCCAAAATCACTCCAGCACCATTTGCAGCATAGAGATTTGCAGGGCACAGCATCAAAACCTAAACAAAAAATCCATTAAAGAACAAAAGGAAAACGAAAAATATATGTATAAATATATTGATGGTAAAATGAGATAATAATACTGCTCATCTTCCAGAGAAGAAACAGGCTTGAATTAAAGAACCATTACAAAAAAGGAGGTACATAGAGAAAAAAATTATTGAAAGGAGCATTTAGAGAGTAAATGAAAAATCATGCTCACTTAATTCTGACAGAGATGTTACAAGGGATAATGAATTTTGCAGAAACAGAAACTGAAACATAATTCAAGCTAGGATCGAGATAGAATAGAATTGAGATCGACTTAATTGAAGTAACATAGAATATATTCTTCTCTAGAACAGAAACAGTAACACTGCACACCAGAGCCCACCATAAGATCAACTTTTCTTACCTCTCTATTAGGATCGATAACATTTGGTTTATGTAACAAAGAACAGGTTTTCCACAGGAATAAGAAAACAGACTATTTTAGCTTTTAAAGCTCGTTTAAAATGGTCAAACAGTTGAGAATATTGACGCAGGAGCTACCAGCGTCCTAACACGGGCGCTAAACTGCACCCGATTCGAGGCGCCTCGATCCCGCTAGACTGAAGCCCCGCAAGACTTCGCTGGAGAGGGAACCCAGCGAGAATTTGCAAAAGCAGGAGAAGCTGCGCGAGAGCAGGGGGGCTGTGAACCTTCACGGGAACGAGCAAGTGAACGGGATCACGAACATACACGATCCATATGGGCGCCATCAATGGAATTTGGATTTTCTGGATTTTTCTAGGCTTCTCACTTTCTCCTTTTGTGTAGAAGTTTCTTTTGAGCCTATAAATTGCTATTATAGGTCTCTTGTGTGGAGCATTTTCCCCTTTGTGAGCTATATCAAAGGAGGTGGTCGTGCTCCGATTGTATCCCCACTAACATGGTAATTGTATGCTCCATTTTCCCTTCTCCAAACCTTCTTCTTTCTACTCCTCAACTGCCGAACTCTCTCTCTCTGTCACCCCGACACCAAACAATTCCCCTTCCTACAAATTATTCTGTTGTTCCGCATTCCTAACTCCATTCAAGCTCCTCCCACCACCACACTATTGTTGTTGAACACCTACAGCCCCTCCCACTTGTTGCCGCGCAATTTCGCATCTTCCCCTCGCTACCACCAGCAATTTGTTGTTGTCACTACCCCCGCCAGCCATCCCGGCCCACCACGCCGATCTCCATCACCCGTTGGAATACATTTACGAGTATTTGCTTGTGTCATTTTGTGTCTGTGTTGTTATTTCTGTTCAAGTCATGTTGTAACACTATTTTAATATTAATGAAGGTTTACTTTTTGTATTTCCACTATTTTCCATACTAGTTTCAGTATCAAATATTCTTCAAGACAATGTTCTTATTATTTTTTTATTTTGCTGTGATTAACGAGTAGAAGAAAAGCATATGATAAGCTCTCATAGCAGAATACAAGAAATCCAAAATATAAATAAACCAATCAGGATTAGAGTTAGCCACCTGAATGAAAATTCCTGTGAAGTTTTAGCTATGTTAAGAAATGTTGCAGAGAAAACAAAACCATTGCTTAAAGCTTGTCTGGATAAAATTGTTGCTGCAAGTTTCGCAAAGTAAAGCTAACCACTCTTTCAACTAATAATGAATTTGGCATCTGATGTAGTGAAGTGCTGTAACATATATAAGAGGCCGAATGCAATTATTATGGGAATTATGCATCGTTAGAAATGACTAAAAATAGTTGAATGTTAAATTCATGTAATATTAATTGCCAATTTAATAAAACATGCATTGAAAACAATAATAACAAAAATTTATTTCAAGTACAAATGGTGGTTTATATTACAACCAGATTGCATGCTTTTTTACTCCAAAAAAAATTATCACTTGGTAAAAGTGAACTTCCTTCAACACTAAGAGAAGACATGGGAAAAGATTCCATGAAGTAGAAAAGATTCATTATAACCAAATTTCCATGATGTTTAAATCAAGATTTATTAAGATCTAAGTCAAAGATTTCCCATGGCCGGAAGTACCGATAATTAATAATTTATCTCACTTGCAGGAGAGTAATCGATTAAATATTTTGTTTAGGTAGGTAATTTAGGTTTAGATTTGGTTTTAGTTAAACACAGTATGAATAGAAAATGATCAGAAGAATAGAGACCTAATTAAAATCTCATTTTTGCATCATTCTGGGTATACCAATCAACCCAATCTACTGTCATTAGAGAGGCTATGAGTTGTAACATCCAAGGAGTCTGATTGAGTAATCATGGTTGGCCTGCTCCAGGATACCAAGCTGACCAAGGGTGGATATATTTGTGTTAAAGATGTTCTTGTAAGATTAGACTAAATACTTTATAAAGAGGTCTAATGGACCAAGAATTATAACTTCAGGTTTAAGGGAAGTTCAATGTAGGTCTTGTCCTGATTTTAAATGACATATAAGGATGGGCCTGATGATCTTATATTATTGATTGAATAACCAACATAGTGGCCTTCTAATCTCAACTTATAAGAAAAACAACCCAAACTTACGACCTTGTCTTATATGCAAAATAGTCTTGTAGGGATATCACGAACATTCATGCAATCCAAGGAGTCATCGAAACGTCTAGAAAATTGAAAATTATTTTGAAACTAAAGAAGCACTAATACGTTCTTTATTTTTCTTTTCTCCTTTTTTTGTGTGTGTGATGGCACGCTGGCCACAACAGCTAAAGATAGGAGCGCACACCTTTTATGAACATTTATAAATTAAAAAGCATTGCACATTTATTCAAACACATTGCACGGAGGATTGGTGCTCTACACGCTTATGGATGTATAGCAAACCTACCAGTGGACAAGTATGGTTACAGATGCATCGACATGGCTATAGCTGTCTCCGCACAACTCAAAATCCTTCTTATTTTTCGACTAAGAGCTCAGTCCCTAAAGCCAGTGAAGTATACCCCAGTAGATGTCAAGTTGGAGCACAATCCGACTTACACCGTTGGAAAAGCTATGAGATGGACTTCAGTAATTGTCACAGTGGGGTAAGGTGTAACTTATGTTGCTAGGGCTCAACAAATTAATAATCATTAAAAAAAAAACAACACCTCCCCTTATTTTTTTATTAATTTTCAAGGTGTATTCAGAGAGGTAAAGAATCTCTTATTTTTATTTTGATTTAATTTATTGGACTCAATTAAATTCTTCAGGATAAGTTCAAGCTTCAAATTTTAAATTATTAAGACAGGAATTGAATTCATTTTTTAACGGATTAGAATTTTAATTTGAATTTCAAGCTTAACCTTGTAATCTTATTCCTTAAATTAAGAAAATTAGTGATATTTAGATAAGTGATTACCATGAATTGACATTATATGCAGTCAATAAAATGCTTTTAGATCCTAGTAGTGTATACAACTCGCTTGAAATTGTGTGCCACGTATTTCACCTTCCCCTCAATTCAAAGCAGTTTATGTAAACAACTTGGAACTTAAAAACATTATATTAGCCATAAGTTTCAATCATTCAATCCATGATAAATCAATAATCTGATCATATCAGAAAGAAAGTAAAATCTTATTGTAACAATTTATTTTCAAACACATAATTATTTCAAAAGAAGATAATTAAATCTATTAAAATAAATAAAAAATACAATAAAAAATAATGCTATAAATACAAATAACCAAAAAGACATAAGATTGATCCAATTCAGCTACTTTATAGCCTGGTTAGACTACAAATAATTAATCAATAGTCACTTGGATCTTGCAGGCCGATTTGGCTGATTTGTATATTAGAGATGAACATATTAAACGTTGATACCCATCCAAACAATAAAAGATATTGAAGCAAAAAAGTTAAAACATCAAGGAAAAAAATTAATGCTAAGCATATCCTACTTTTGTATAGAGTTCTTTTGCTTTTTCAAGATGAGTCGCTTCCAATTTCGGTCCTCTTTTTTCAGATCGCATGGCTGCAAAATAGTTCCAATTACCCTGACAATATTCATGAAAAAAAAAACATCAGAATATTTTGATTATAAATGACAACCTTACTGCTATATCTTGCTAAATCTTATAAAGAAGAAAAAAATTAAATGTAACTGTTTAAATAAATGCACAGCAAATACACATAAAGCTTTCTAAAAATGGTATATGAATGGAACTATAACAATTCTAGGCTTCCCAGCCCAATTCGGAATTTTGCTTCTGATCAGAAAGTGAGACATATTGACCGGGAGTATTTGAACAGTGAGCAAGGACACAGAAGAAAATGATGATTGCACTCCTAAAAACAAGGAGAATTAGTTTTTTTAAAACAGAAAAGAAATCAGATAAAGAAACATACAAAGGGAAAAAAATATTGAACGCATACACGCATTTAAGTTTGTATCAATGTCTTAAAAGGCGTGGGCATTGGGAGCTGTTATGGGTCGAGGCGTAAGCCCCACAGTATAAAAAAATAAGGAATATAAATATGAGATAAAAATAAACTATTTGTGCATAATAAAAAAATTAAACACAAACAAAACAATTCTTCTAGGATTAGAATATTCAAGAAATTAGCAAGAACCTACCACAAAATCCTCCTATTCCATTACAAGTTAATATCTAACCTAACACATTTTAAAAAAAATATCAAATCAAATCCACCTCTAACAAATTGCAAACATGAAAAAAAAATTTTGATTTACAGTAAACATGAAAAAAAAATTACACCTTATTGTAGCTAGACTGATCTCTAGCAAATCTTCAACATAAAAGAAATAGATGGATGGATGGATGGATGGATGGATATATATATATAGGAGAAGGAGCATTATTCGGCTCCCTACGTGTTAATCATAAAATTTGGGTACAAAAAAGTGTTGGGAGAGGATCCCCCTCTTAAAAGCCAAAACATGCAACAAACGCACTCAAATGGGGGTTCCTCAACCATAGTATAACTCCACACCAAAACACCCAAATCGAAATGAAAATTACAAAAGGAAAAACCCAAAAAATATGAATATGTACCCAAAAAGTAAAACTATGAATCTGTACCCAAAAAGTTGCTATCCAAATAGCTTTAAAGTAAATGGTGAGCCCTCGCCATCTGTAGAGAAGGAACAAAGAGAAATTCGCCATTTTAAGCTTGCCCTCCACCGAGCGATATAGTAGGCAGAGAAACAAGTAGAGGCTGGAAACGTAGCAGTGTGGCAAAAACCAAAACATAGAGAGCAGGTGAAAGCAATTAAAGATAGAGGCAGCTGTACAGATCATTAAAATCTGATAAAGGGGATAGGTAGCATGTCTCCATGGAGTAGCTTTTTAAGAAAGGGTAGGCGATGGGTGCTAACAGTAGCCATATTATTTCCATAAATTTGAGAGCCAAATTTTGCCAATCCATCAGCAGGAGCATTACCTTCTCGGTTAATAAAACTGAAATGAAAACAGAGTTGATGTACTGCAGTTAAATGCCAAATTCTATTAAATACCCAGAGTAGATCCCTAGTATGAAGAGTAACCTTGGTAAGCAGCTCAAAAATTTGAAATGAGTCAGTTTCAATAACAAGCAGTGTGAAATTAAATATGACCGCAACCTTAATTCCCATCAGAACAGCCCAAGCCTCTGCTTCCAGAGGACTTAGGGCATCCACAGGAGAGGCAAAGTGACACAAATGATTACCAAACTTATCTCTGAAAACCTCGCCAATTCAAGCAGCCTGTGTGGACCAACTAACATCAATATTAAGCTTAACCCAGCCAGCAAATGGGGGTTGCCATCTAATCAGAAGAAGCCTCCTACCCTTTTGAAGCATAGGTTCACTGGAATTCAAATTTAAAGTACGGAAATCCTTGTAGTAGTTAGAGAGTATATAGGAGATAGTAAGAGAGGGGCTTGGAGGAGCATTTTCATATTTGTACCCATTCCTTGCAGACCAAATAAATCAAAGCACCACTAAAGGAAAATATGCAAGTTTCTTATGTTGTGAGATTTTCCAAGCAGCCATGGAATCCTCTAACCTAGAGCTATGAGGCCAAAGAACCCTGAAATGCCGCCCAATCCTCATCCAAATGGATTTGGAGAAGGGGCATTCATAAAAAAGATGTGTGCAAGTTTCCTCAGCGTTGCTACAAATATAGCATTTAGAGGCAAACCTCAAACCTTTCAATTTCAAAATATCATCTAGAGGCAGCATGGAGAGTAAGAATCGCCACAAAAAGAAAGAAATGGATGGGGAGATGAGAGCATTCCAGATAAGATGTCCCCACTTCCAATCAGTAAAAGTGTGTAAATGATTATACAATTTTTTTTGTAATTAAGGCATTAGATGAGAATTTCAAAAAAGGAGTATCTTTTTTATCCGGAGTGATAGGAATATTAGCAATAGGGCAGCAAACTCCCCCAACATATCTCTCAATTTAGGCAAGTCCCATTGCCCATTATTCCAACAGTGGGAGACCAAAATATAATTATCATGCAGAGGAAGAGTGATATCAGGTAGAGTAGAAATACCCCAGTGATCATACCAAAAAAAAACCTTACCTTCTCTGATATCCAAGTAGATATATTGATTAGCTAAGGATCTTGCTTTGAAAATAGACTTCCAAATACGTGAATCTCCAATCTTCCAACTCACCATAGAAGGGTGTTGTAATGTGCAGTACTTGAGATATAAAAACTTTGCCCATAAAGAGGTACCAGCTCTAAATTTAAACCACAATTTACAAATGTTGATCTCGGCAATATGCTGTAGATTTTTAAAAACAAGCCCCCCAGAAGAAAGTGGTTTGCAGGCTTTACGCCAACCAGCCCAAATCTTAGAATCTCCCCCTCCAGACCAAAGAAATTTATTGAAAATGCATTCCAGAGATGTTTGAGTACTCTTTTTCAAATTTAACACTTGCATGACATACAAAAGAATACTATAAAGCACACTTTTCAGCAGAGTCACTCTACCCCATTGGAGAGAAAAATATTATGCCAATCGGCAATTTTGGCCCTAATACGATCCACCACAACATCCAATTGAGTTTGCTTCCATCTACCACTAAGTGGGAGCATGGCTGTATAATAACCAGTAAACGAAGTAGCCCAATTGATAATGTTGGATTTAACATTTTTCCCAAAAAATAGCTGACATTTGGCTTTATTAAAAAATAGCCCAAAAGTATTTTGAAACTCATTCAGAGTATGCATGATACGTTTGATAGCATTTTTGGTAGCTTTGGTGAACAGAATAGCATCTTCAGCATAGGCCAAATGACTAACCAAAACTTTGGATTTGTGTGAGTATTTGACATGGGGATGTGCCTCATTTAAGCTATTTATTAGGCGTGAAAAGTAATCAAAAGCCAAAATAAAAATAGTTGGAGATGAAGGATCACCTTGTTTGATGCCACATTGAGCAAAAAAAAAACGATATGAGTTACCATTAACCAAGATGCTATAGTGATTATTCTCCAACCATCGTTTAATAATATGGCAAAAGTTTGTTGAGAAACCTCTAGCCCTCAAAATATTCAAAATGAAAGCCCAACTTATAGTATCAAAAGCTTTTTTAATATCAATTTTAAGGACCATGTTACCACCTCTACATTTTTTATCCATCTCCACCATTTCTTGTGCTAGTAATATATTATATTTAATTTCACGCCCTTGAATGAAAGTAGATTGATGAGGAGAGATGATAGTAGAGAGATAAGGTGAGGGAAATAGGTCTAAAATTTTTCCAACAAATCTTAACCTTAGCATTTGGAATTAGTACAATCATAGCTGCTACATTAACCTCACAGCAACCACAATGAAATGATCAATTAAAACTCATAAAAGCTTAAAAAATTGCAAAACAATCAAACGTACTTATCTGGTTGCGTTGTTGCGTGAGAAACAAACCGGTGTGAGAGAGTAGATGATGCGAGTGCAGGAAAGTGAGAAAAGAAGAAGTCGCGCGCGGAATGAAGACAATGAGCCTTTTGTATGAAGAAGACACAGACGAGCCTACATGCGAGATGAAGACGATGCAGACGAGCGAAGAATACGAAATACTGCGAGATGACCCACGTGCAGCGGTGCGAGGGACGAAGCTGAGGACCTGTAGGAGATGACTGCGTGCGAGAGAAGCCAGATTCGAATAGGTATGTAGAATTAGGGATTTTTTACCCTTTTTATTTGATTATAAGGCGGGGAGTATGCCCCATGAGGCGCGTATTGCGCTCCAAACCTTATTGCCTCCCTCCCATACGCCCCCCCCCCCCCCCCCCCCCAATGAGAACTATGGGCGCGCCCCAAAAACGCATTTTAAAAAAGAGGTTTGTATAAACATTTTTAAAGCCAAATAGTTGTGCAAAAGCATATCTATCTACGTAACATGCATGGGTATGTTTAAGTAGAAGAAACTCTACTGTATAGTTAATTATGGATTTAAAATTAAAGACAAGTGATATCAAAATTAACCCAAACCACGATAGAAATCAAATATTATTGTTGAAATTCAAATGTACATATTGTTGAAATTCAAATGTACATATTGTTGAAATTCAAACGTTTCAATGAAAACGCTTCAAGATAAGAATAAAACAACACAAAGCACACAAATGACACCCTAAGGCAACAGCGAAGTTGGTGGATGGTAGTCGAACAACTGGTAGAGGGGTTGGTTGGAAGTTGCAGGCACAGCAGGAGGTTGGAATGGTGCGGAGGCAGCACTGGAAGGCAGGAATGAGAGGGCGGCAGCAGCTGGTAGGTAGAGGCAAGGGCGGCGACAGCTGGATGGAAGGCTGCAGAGCTGGCAGCTGCAGACTACGAGGGAGGAAAGGTATTACAGCAGCGGGTGGGAGTGTTTTATGGGTTGCGACAAAAGCGGGAAGGGCGATTAAGGCTGGCGGTAGGGGAAAACAGGGAAAGGGAAGGTGCGCATGTGGAAGAGCAGCAATCGACAGGGTGTGGAGGATAGGGAAGTCAAGGATAATCAACACCTCAGAGTGAGATACAAGCAAAACACCACTCATCC